AACCAGTAGATTAGCTTTTTGCCGAGGTTTGGTGGGACTAAGCAAGACAGGGCCAGACACACCCTGGAGCTTTCCCATGGTCCCTCCCCAGCTGGCCAGCCTCCTGTGACCCTCCCCAGCTCTGATCATACACCAGTTGGGTCCCTTGGCCTTGCCTGCATCTTCTTGCAATCTGGAACCCCTCAGGGAATGTCAGAAAGCTGGTTCTGGCCAGATCCCACAGATCAGGCCAAGGGACCCCACTGTGCACAAATTGGTGCACCAGATCTCTAGTTTGTATATATTTTAAAAGGTTCAGTAAATAAACTTTCATTGAAGACAGTAAATAGTTACTTTAGAATGAAGTGTGGCATTACTCAAGTTTGGTGTAACAAACTAATTTTTTAACAACTAAAATTATTGGATCTAGAATTGGAAAATTGGAGTAACTATGGATTTTTCTCTGAGATATATAAAATGGAGTGAGTTTCTGGGATTTGGATTGACTTATGTATCTTTCATGAAGATGTGTGGTTAGATTAGGTATTTTCTGAAGTTTTGTTCCAATTCTAGATTTCTAATACTGGTGACCGAATATATAATTTCTCATAAGTCTACTTAAAGACAAGTATGTTTAAGTAAATACAGAAATGTGATGAAATAAATTGAAGAAAGTGGCATTGCACTTATTTCTGAATAGAGAAAATGAATGAGTAGTCATCCCTCTAAATAAAAACACAGGAACCAAACTATTTAACTGCATATTTTCCAAGAGTAAAAGCAAAGAGCACACAGTACAAGAATAGACAATGCTGTATAGCCTCAGAGGGCTTATCGGAAATGGGTCGTTAACAGAAAATGAACTAAAAATTAATTTTCTACAAGGTCACTCACATTATTAGCCCCCAAAAAACCCTTTTAAAAGGTGAAAGTTTTCTTTTGCGCTTCTCTGCCCTCACATCTCAAGTTTCCAGTATCTTTTTATTGCCTCTGGCTGTTCAGAATCATTCCTAGGAACAAGCACATAGTCCCTGCCCTCTCCACCCTAAACACTCTTTGCTATTACATTTTTTAAGGCCTGATGTTTTCAATTTAAAATGTTTTGTACTGTTTTCCATTATTTTGAGTTAAACTGATGAATCTATGCCAGAGGATGATAGTCCTTAACAGGTTACTATCTGTGGCTGTAGTGCTTCTCCTGCCTAGAATCCTAGGCTACTGGTTAGACAGGGACTGACAGGCATTTTGTTGCACCTGAAATCCTATCAGCCAGGTGCTCCCTTCACCAGCGTAGATGAACTAGCAAACAATCTGGATTTACATATTGGAACATCTTTCTGTTCTTTCTCATCAAATATAAACAGAATGTATATGTATTTCTAAATGTAAAGTTAAATCTTTCAAATATTATTTTATTTTGATTATTTCTGCACACTTAAAAAAATTATTGATTTCAGAGAGGACAGGAGAGGGAGAAAGAGAGAAAAACATCGATGATGAGAATCACTGATTGGTTGCCTCCTGCATGCCCCCTACTGGGGATCAGGTGAGCAATCCATCATGTGCCCTGACCGGGAATCAAACCATGACCTCCAGGTTCATAGGTTGATGCTCAAGCACTGAGCTACACTGGCTGGGATGCAAACTCTTGAAAAGGTTAAAAAATAAGCTACGTTTAACTCATTTAACAAGGATTGCAATACACCGATCTAATCATATACATTGAAAAGTTTAATTATGACTCTATATGGAAAATTTAATTTTCTTTGCTTCATTAATTGACAATAAAGAAAGGCTTTTCAGGGATTTTAAACAGCACTAATGATATCTGATTCCAGGAACACTCACTTGTTTCCTGGGCAATTTCAATAAATTAAAGAGATTTGTTTCGTTTGCCAGGATTTAAAGCTGCAATCAATTATTATTTGTCAAAGAACATATTGCTTTATTGAGAGCTAAAAGAAGCAATTGCTTTAAAAAAGGACATTTAATACTTAACGAGGTTTTTGTTGCTGCTATTTGTCTTGGCTTGTTTGTTTGATAAAGATTGTTCAGGTAACATTTGGAACAAGGAATTTTTGGTTATGGCAAAAATATTTGATACAAATCAGATTATGAGGATCACCAATGAGAGCTAGTTTTTATATCTTAACCTTAAATATCATATGCAAAGTTTATATTCTAGAACATCTAAGCTAATAATGCCTAACATTTTTTGCACTTTGCAATTTTTAAAGTGTGTTTAATTAATTCTTTCAATCATTACAACAACCCTGTGATGTAGGAAGGATGGACTTAATAATCCCTATTTTATAGATGAGAAAATAAAACTTGTAGATATTGTCCCTTACCCAAGAACACATGTCTAATAAAAGTTAGCAACCAGAGTTGGTTGGGCTTCATATGATCTTCTTTTGTTGCTGTTTGTTTGCTTATTTATTTGATCCTTAGACTTATTTCCTCAATAATCACGGTTTTAGATTATTGTTACTGAGAAAACTATATAAGCATTTGGGTTTTTGCTGCAAGAACTGATCAATAGTTCAAATCTCTGGTTGCCATACACATTGCTATATACAGCCAAAGACTGACATGACAGTCCTTGAAAACTATTCTCATTTCCAAAGGAGAATGAAGACTCCGGGAGATGACATTACTAAAACCACACAGTTCCCTGTGAGATGCTATTCGCATCTAAGTCCTCTCCAAAGGTGCTTATAAAAAGAGAAAATGATGGTGTCTATAAGGGAACTAGCACACTACCATCTAGTGATTAGGAGGTCTGATGAGAAAAGGTTTCTAGAGAAAATAAAAATTTTGTTCACAGGGACATTAAAATAAAATTCCTGCTGAAACCGGTTTGGCTCAGTCGTAGAGCATCGGTCTGCGGACTAAAAGGTCCCAGGTTTGATTCCGGTCAAGGGCATGTACATTGGTTGCGGGCACATCCCCAGTAGCGGGTGTGCAAGAGGCAGCTGATCGATGTTTCTCTCTCATCAATGTTTCTAGTTCTCTATCCCTCTCTCCTCCTCTCTGTAAAAAATCAATAAAAAAATATATTTTAAAAAAATAAAAAATAAAATAAAATAAAATTCCTAATCTAATAAGCAAAGTGGTCTAGAGACAACGGACTTATTTAAAGGTTGGGTTTGCTTGTCAATAGGACATGAATGTGAATGTGAATGTCTAGTCACATTTACAGAGCCTTCACTGTGTATTGCAGATTGAAATCTGTAGGGCCAGAATCATGCCATAGGAAATGCATGGGCACTAGAATCAGAACGACCTGTGTTTGTCTTTTGTAATCTGTCACTTTGAGTGGAAGAAATTCTGCAAAAATCACCTCACCTCTCTGATGCACACTTTCCTCAGCTATAAATGGAAAATATTTGGCATTCAAGAAGCTATAGTTACTATTTTCGGAGCTCGAATGATTTCCCTGGCTATACTATCTTCAAACATTGACAATACCTGCAGAATTCTGAAAGCTGCTCTTTAGTAGTCCAAGGACACCTAGAAATCAAGATGGGCAACCTTTTTCAAGGTTGGCATAGGGAGGTAAGTTCTAGAACATTATGGAAAAGTCTGCCACTATGAGCAAAGATAGTGATGAGAAATTGCTATAAAATTACCTCCAATCTGAGATTTCATTATTATATTTACTTGTTTTTATTTGTAAACTGCACCTCTTATTCATCCAAATATAAGTTAACATTTTAAGTGAGATAATATATTTTAAAATTGTAGGATCAAATTATGAGTCTTTGTTTTCAGCAGAAATAAATGTGCTTTTTTGTGTTTTTTTAAATATGTTTTTATTGATTTTGTTAGAGAAAGGAAGGAGTGGGATAGATAGGATAGATAGATAGAACATGGATGAGAGAGAAACATCATCTATCAGCTGCCTCCTGCATGCCCCCTAGAGGGGATACAGCCTGAAAACCAGACATGTGCCTTAACTGGGAATCAAACCAGTGACCTCTTGATTCATGGGTCAACACAACCACTGAGGCCAGGCTGCTTATTCATTTTTTTTTTTTATCAGCTAACCACATTTCTATTTTGGACCCAATGATAAATATTCCATTAGATTTTTACCTTCTTTTCTTATGTATAACTTCTCTAATAAGTAAGGAATCTGAAAAAGTCAGTCTGTTTTGTCCTGATATTCTTAAAACATCACTTACTACAACCTATACTTAGGCTTGTTTCCACTATTCAAACTCCTTTTGTCCATCCTTATTGTTTATTCCTATAAAAATCCAACACCGAGTCCTGCCCGGCTACCAATTAATCCCATGACCTTTGCTGTCTTATGTTACTAGGAAAAGCCACTAAAATGTGAGATTAAAATCACCTCCCTATAATAAGTAAATGATGTTTGCATATTACAGATCATTGTTCTCTATCAGAAATAATAATCAGCTTTACTTTTTACAGGAAATGGAAAATAAAACCTCAACAAATGGATGCAATCCTTCAGAATGGCTCTCAAATGGACAGAGATGAAAATTGATCTGGTTACTTGTCAGTTGCATTATTCAGAGATGACATCATCAGCAAAGCGATAGCCAATGCTGGCTCCTAGCCCACCCCATGACAACCTTTCATAGATAAAAAAAAAAAAAAAAAACCTATTCTGTAAAGATATAAACATCTCAAGAGCTGTAATTTGAGCTTTGAATCCTAATTACATAATTTTCTACCAGCCTCATTAGTAAGCACAAAATCAAATTCTATATAAACACCTGAACACGGGACAGCGAATGCTAGCAAAACATTTCATAGCATACCACCGTCACCAGTGTGTTATTCTAGAAGGAAAGCAGGCTGCTGGCTGAGACGGTTTCCATATTTATTTCTGGTTTTGTTTGTGATCCATTGTAGAGATGAACGTGTTAGATTGTTGCTAATTGAAATGCAGTTAAAGTCTTTTGGCAATGAAATGCTCTTTGATGTTATTCTAACAATTCTATTCTGTTCCATCAGCGAGCGTGAAACACAACAGTGCTCCTTTTTACCTGGGGGGTTATGTTCGTTGAGAATCACGAGCGATGCGGGGGTGGGTCTTCTTTTCCTGATCTGTGAACAACAAAGGCCCAGCGGAGGTCAGTGGGAGCCAGACACTGCTCCAGGTCACCCCCCAGCTTGCAAAGCTGTCCCATCCTCATCTCCCAACATACAAAAGCAAGTATCTGGAGGGCACACAGGAGATGCTCACTACATTTATTTTGAAACATAGAAAGTCAGACAGTAGAACTGTCATATATGACTATCACCTTTGTTTACCGAGAAGCTAGCACTTCCACAAGAAAGAAGTAGATAGTTGTATACAATCAAATGCTGCCTCCGAAAATGAACATGCACTGAAGGCAGAGGGATGACTTGCTAATTTCATAATATTAATGATGCTTTCAAGATTCATTATCCTTATATCTAAATGAGAGAAGCTTAGAAAACTCAAATTTCTGGCAGGTTAAATTTAACAGCATGAGCTTTTAATTTTAGTTAATATAAGTTTTTCTTACTTTCTAGTATATTATTTAGAATAAATCAACAAATAAAAAATGAATATGGATCTTACAAGAGTATGTTACTCATTGAAAATTAATTGGTGTAGTGTGTGGTTTTACTTAATTTAAGTTATGAGTATATTATGATTAGGATTTCCAATATGTCCATGATTCCTTGAATATATAGGTAAATTCCTAAAGTATTTGTCAGTAGGAGAGTAGACAAAATTTACCAATGACACCTTGCTCAAGATAGAACCAATGACTCATTCAACACAGATACGAGTTCAAGGTTGTATTTAACTGGCCCAAGACTGAGTGAATCTACTTCAGCATCATAGAAAATTATGAGTCTCAGATTTAATAATTGTTTTTAAAGCTTTGTATATAATATTTGGTAAAAGATTCAGGGATAACTTAGGTTTTAAGAAATTAATGAATTACGTTGATGATCCTGTAAATTTCTTTGCTTTTGTCTCCTCGCTGCTATACTTTTACTACAAATGATATTTTAAGTGGTTCTGAATATGAAAGGCAAGACTATAGATATAAACTAACCACAGGTGAGAGAGTCAGAGACAGAAAGACAAAGAGAAAAATACATATTGACATAGTATAGATGGAAAAGGAATTCAAGAAATGTTAAAATACTATTTCTAATATCTGAATAAAATGTTTTTTTTTAAATTGCACATATACCTACACATCCCATCTATCATATGTTACATATATTTATAATTACTGTTCTGGATATATAATAAAAAACATTAAAATAAAATATTAAGTGTATTATCTGAAATTATTCCAAGATTTAATGCTTTCATTGTTAAACGAATCTTTATCTTTTTATTTCATAAGTAATGAAATAAAAGGTTGTTAAATTTTAGAATTTATTTTTAAGTTTCTCTAAATGTTGAACATGTTATTTTAATGCGCAAAAGCAAAGATATTTTCGGATCCAAATCTGAATTGCTAATATAACCATTTTCCCCTAGCAGATGCTAATTTTGCATCACATGAAAGGCTGCATTTTAACCAATAGTTCACCCACTGCAACTCAAACACAAGTGCCTATGGAAACCAATTTATTTCTCATTCGTGTGTCCTGGAAATCCACGACGTTGGGCAAATTCAAGAGGTAGAGGAGCCTTTCATTAATAACAAGCATGTCCGTCCATGTTACTTTATATCCAACATCTGGTCCCCACCCAGTCCTGCTTACCTGCTCCGCCGCTTCGGGTGCGATCTGACTCTGGAACAAAGGTACAGCAAACTGTATCTTTTTGGGACTGTTGGGCTCCATGGTGATGATGAGAATTAGCCAGACACGTGGAGGACTCCGAAGGACAAACCCCAAGCGGTGTCTGGGATGTGTCTCCTCAGCACACGCCACCCGGCCACACAGAGCGCTTCCTAATGAATAGCTGTGATTCCAGCGTGAGCAAGTGAGGATGCCGAGGTCCGAGCAACTCCCTCTTTCAAATCCACACTGACGTCTGGTTTGTTCCCTCACCAACCTCTCGGATCTTCTCAGCACAAGACGGAAAGGAATAATAAGCTAATTGTATGCCTCTCCACTACTACACATGCCAAACGTTCACTCAGCAGCTAATTGAAAATGCAATGCTAGCCCTGAAGGACGCACTGCCCTGGGATTTGAGAAAAAGGCTCTATCCATTGCACATGACTGACGGGCTGCTCGAAAGTGCAAAGCAAGCTCCCTCTGAGTATTGCAGGGACGGGCCATTCATTATTGATGACTATAAAGCAGGAAGTTTTTGGAGTTGGGGGCAGGGTTTGCGTATGGAGTCATTTCATTTCTCTTGCAGCAACTTGTAATTCAGACACCCTTGCTCTTGTATCTGCAGCCACCGAATAGATGAATGGCCTCAGAGGGTGAGCCACAACCAATAATACCTCCTATCTCTGGTTAGGTGAGATTAATCATAGCAGGCAGAGCAGCTGTGGTGTGGTGAGGACAGCTGAGCAGATCTTTATTCAAGTTCCATCTCTTCCATTAACAAGCTCTGTAGCCTGAAGCAAATCACAGGCAATGACTAGGCCCCTATACTCTCATCAGAAAAATGGGGGGAGGGGGGGTGAGGGGAGGAGGGGAGGGGAAGGAAAGGGGGTTGGAATCAATGACCTTTAAGGTCCTTTCTGTTTCAACATTCTGTAATTGTAGTTCACAGTTTTCAAATTTGAATGGAAATTATTGGACAGCTAAATTTAGCAAACAGCTTGGTCACTACTGCTGCAATGACCTCTGTTTCATTTTCTGGGGGAGTTGGTTACATCCTCTCATTTGGAAGATTCCAGAAATGATTAGAAAACATTAGTGGAGACATAATGGTATCTAACATTGTGTTTTGTTGTCAATAGTGGGGATATGTGCAAACATAAGGAAATAACTTTTTTTTTTGGGGGGGGGGGGGGAATCATAAAAGATGTAATCTCCAGAATGATAGAAGATGGTGATCCTATTGGTCAAGGTAGAGAAACACTGCCTGCTCTCCACATCTGTGAATGTTAAAGGGGAGGCAATAACATAGCCAGACAGCCTTCACGCATTCTACTCCTTTCGTGAAGGAATCCTGAAATGAAGCAGCTTTCATGGAAGGAAGAACTTCGTTTTCTACTTTTTTATTTGAAACATATTGTTGCCCGGCCAATGTTAATGAGTGGCTGAGTGTTGTTCCAGGAATCAAGAGGTCCTGGTTTGATTCCCGGTCAGGACACATGCCCAGATTTCAGGCTAGGTCTCCAGTAGGGGGAGCACAGGAGGCAGATGATGCTTCTATCTCTCTATCCCTTCCCCTTCATCTTTAAATAATCAATAAAAACATATTTTTAAAAGAAATATATTGTTTCATGAATTTTAGATTTCTTATATGCTTTTAGATTTACATAATACATTTAGACACTGACTATGATTCCAGTTACTAACAAGTGAAGTTTTCTTCCTTTTTTAAAAAAAATTCTGAGCCCATACCAGGAATCCATCTTAATGATTTAAGCATGCAACATTCTGTTGAAAGAATATGGAAAGTAATATGCATTATTCAAGCAGATTTCTATACCCACTGGGGAAAAAGCAAAAGCAGATGTGGATGTGAAAGCACTTTCAGTTGGAGAACAGTGCTGACCAGCAAGAACTTTTGTGATGGGTGCATCCTTGTAGTGTCGAAGGAAAACTTATAAATTATATTATGTGTAATAGATTAGAAAGGCTCTAAAAGAAAATATGAATTAATATCATTAGTAAACTTATTTCTCTGGACATTTTTTAAAATTATATAAAAGGAAAACAAGGAAGTATTTCTAGTGAGAAATGAACTAAAAATTTTATTTAGAGTAATGATTAAGAGCATGAATATACTTGGTGGCCTTGAGTTCAAACCTTGGCTCTGATACTTAGTGACTTTATCCACATGGGCAGTAATAGAACTTTCTACTTGTGAGGTTTAGATGAATTAATTTTTTTAAAGAGCTCATTACATGTCCAGAACAGGATACCACTCAGTAAAAGATAGCTGTTACTTTTCCTTCATTAGATAGCAGACTAATAGGAGAAAAAGTGAAATTTTATGTATGCATAATATAAATATTAACTAAATGATTCTCATTAACTAACTGCTCTATTTTTGAGTAGTTTGACCCGAAATAATATATTGTAAAGAGATTACCTAGCCCCTTTAAACTTCTTCTTCCCCAGGCCAGCCCCTGCAGGACTCAGCTGAGGTATATCCCCTCTAAGAAGTTTTTATAGGTTTATTGGAGGCATGAAGATTCGTACAAGAATGGGCCTTCCTTCCCCTGGCTGCCAGCACCACCTTTGCTCTGGCTGGAGCCTCCTTTCTGCTTTCCCACACTGCCCAGAAGCCCAGAGCAGCTGGGGCAGTGCAGAATGTCTGCATCGTCACCATGGCAACAATGCAAGTATCCTGCCCTGCCCCTGGCTGCTAGGCACCTGCATATGCAAATTAGACCTCCATCTTTGTTGGGTTAATTTGCATACTCACTCCTGATTGGCTGGTGGATGTCGTGAAGGTATGGTCACTTTGCATCTTACTCTTTTATTAGTGTAGATTCCTACCCACACTGGTCTTAGACCCACCTCTTCTGTATTTCCAAAACACCCAAATACCAACTACATGACTATCTTTTTACTGGTTAGCATTTTGAAATGCCATCCATTCACCTACCAAGTATTTATTGAGTCTACTCTGTGCCAGGCCTTTTGCTATGGCATTAGAGGATAAACTGTGGTCAAAGATGAGTGAAGTCACTTTAAAGCTAAATTATTTTTCTAAGAATCAGGTAAAATGCAACTTAAATTTGAAATAATCCAAAAGTATTAATGTGTTTATATGAAGAGTGTAATTATACTAGATATTAGGTGTACATTTTTCTCTTGTTAGAGATAATAGTAATAGTTAACCCTGATATGACATTTACTGTATACCAGGCACTATTATAAATGCTTTACCTGAGTTGATTTATTTAAAACTCATAACAAACCTTTGAGACAAATGTTAGTGCCATCCCAGTTCCTAATTAAAAATGAGGAAACTGAGAATCTGAGAGTTTAGTAAATTTGCTCAAGGTCATCCAGGTAATACATGCCAGGGCCAAGATTCAAACCAGGCCTAGAACTTGGGCTTTTAATCATGATGGTTACTATATTATAAGGGCTACAAAGAAATCAGTGGAAGGCACCAGAACCTCTCTCACATTGATGTTCCTCTCCCTCCCCTCCTTCTCTCTAAAATCAATTTTAAAAAACCACATGTCCTCGGGTGATGATTTAAAACAACAACAACAAACAGAATATCTTCTAAGTTCACCTATGCCATTTTAAATCTTATATTTTTTCACATTCTACACTTATAAGAAGACTCCTCAGGCAAAGCTCACTAAATAACCTTTAATAAACTCTAACCCCCTACAGCACTTAAGTATAAACGTGTACTTGTAGTCACCCTCATGCTTAAAAGCTGACATCATTGATTCATTTATTTATGTAGTGCCTAACATATCCTTTTAAATTGTTTCTTAATTTTTCATGATTGCATATTTTCATCTTCCCTAACTCAAACAATGTTGATTTACTCTGGGATCTTTATATTAATGAGTGCTGTGTTTATAATACATGTTGAATTGAAGAATTACTACTGAGTAATATAAATACCCAGGATTTTTTTTCTCCTAATTATGGACATGGTGTTTTGTTTAATGTATAATATTTTTCTGGATCATCACTTAACAATTTTTATCTTTGTGTCTTATGGATGTAGGCTCACTAAAGAAGCCAGAAATCTGAGGAAGGTTTTCAGCAAGTTCATATCAGCCATGGTAAGTTCCCATCAGAGAGAATGAGTCTGCTTTGAAGGGTCTTTGGACCGGTGGGACTTTGTTGATATCACCACTGGGGAAGCAGTCATTGGGCAATCTGATCAGGAGAGAGTCATACAGTCACAGAATCTATCACAGCTTAGTACGAACCAGGCACCTTTGAAATTTTGACCACGTGGACTATTACAAAGATTTTTAGCTCAGATCCAGCAAAGATACAGGAGTAATAGGAAGAAGATAGGAGATTTATTCTTTACCCATCACTCTTTTCATTTGTTTTCACATCTTTTTTTTTTTTTCATGGTCATAGCTTAATTTTAGCCTTTCCCTGCCTTTTATTTGGAGGTGACGATTGTTACATGAAATACAGAATTGTAATTAATGTGTTTACCTAAAATATTCTAGTTTACAAAATGCTTTCATAAATATTATTCATTCATCCAACAAATATTTATCTCATTCTATGCCAAACACTGGGATATAGACATGAACAAAATAAAGTCCCAACTTTCAAAGAACTTACCATTAAGAGAAGGCAGAATCCTACATAAATAAGCATCACAGAACTAGAACTGCTGTAGTAGAAAGGGTGATAGGAAATAGAAAGGGACCTGGGTAGGAGGGTGATGGCTGCCCCTGAGCCACAGGCATTTTTTTGTTTGCCTTCACAATGTTTTTAAAAATTGAGATGACATTTTAAAGCTCTTGAAAACAAAGACATCCCGTTTCTCTTAATAAAGTGGAAGGTCTGGAAAATCTGGGTCCTCATATCCATAAAGTCACCATCAACTCCAGAAACATAGAGCTACGTTTGGTAAACATGATGGAGATTTCCACAGAGAGCAACAGGTTCCATCGGGGCTAATACAGGGTGGGCATGGTATTCATACTAACTAGTTCCAGTTGATCTCTGAGCTAGAAGAAGAGGCATGACAACCTTTATACCAT